ACGCTTGGGCGATGTTGTTTCTGGTCTAAAGCGCGCCCTATCTGATGGGCAAAAAGTCTACTGGATTTGCCCTCTAGTGGAGGAATCTGAAGCTTTAGATCTTGCTGCCGCTGAAGAGCGCCTTGAAGACTTGAAAAAGATTTTTGGCAAAGATGTTGGTGTTATTCATGGCCGCATGAAGCTTGCTGAAAAAGAAGCGGCTATGGAAGCTTTTGCTTCTGGAAAAATCAAAATTCTTGTTGCAACAACAGTTGTTGAAGTGGGTGTTGATGTAAAAGACGCCACCATTATTGTCATTGAACATGCAGAACGCTTTGGTCTCGCACAACTGCACCAATTAAGGGGACGTGTTGGGCGTGGAGACAAACCGTCTACATGTCTTCTTCTTTTCGCCCATGCCTTAACATCCACTGGACGAGAACGCTTAAAAGTCCTCCGAGAAAGCAATGATGGATTTCATATTGCTGAAGCAGACCTTAAAATTCGCGGCGGAGGGGATATCTTAGGGCTACGTCAAAGCGGCTTTCCAGATTTTCGACTTGGTGTTCTTCCTGGGCACCTCCCTCTCCTTCATCAAGCGCGTAAAGATGCTGAAAACCTTTTAAAAGAAGACCCCGCCCTCTCCTCTCCGCAAGGACAAGCTGTGCAATCCCTTCTTCTTTTATTCGGCTATGATCATGCCGCCAAGAACCTGAAGGCGGGATAGTCTTTCTTCTGCCAATGGTGATAAATCTGCTCAAAAAAATTTCTATGCCGTTATCTTAATATTTTAAGCTGCCCCCCTTCGTTTGATTTAAGTAAAAATTCAGGAAGCTTATTTTCAATTGCTTAAGGTTTAAGAGCAACAATAAAAACTCTTACTTTTTGTTGTTGCCCCTATCTCGGCTTTTTTATCTACTATAAAAACGATTATACAATAATTCCACTGTGATGCCTCTTGCAAAGCAATAGAAACTGTGGATGTGACTCCAAACATTGATCAGACAACTCAAGAACGCGCTCTTGCCCCATCGTGTTTAAAATAAGACCAAATGTTGCCACGATCGCCTTATTTATACGACCTTCGGATAAAACTCTGTAAATTGGCCACATATTTGTCTCATTGTTTCCACCAACAAGGACTTCATGCAAAGAAAGCCTAAGGTTCTTATACTCTTTTGTTAACCAACTACCGATTTCTAAATCTTCTGGAGCGTAGGGAAACCTATATCCTGAAGGAAAAAACTTGTCCGTTTGCTTTCTATCTTC